GACTCACTTATTAACAGTGATTTGCTGCCACCTACTGGCGGCTTTAATTTCGGCTTTTTTTTCATGTTTTAAATCATATCAGTATTCAACGTTTTATGTTTAATATATCAAAACATTATTTATGCATTTGTAATTGCAGGTTAAAAGCATTCATGTCTTGCATTAAACAAAATACATGTGTGTAAATGCATCTAAATGCCACGTCAGATGCAGCTTCTGTGTGGATTTCATTTGCTCGGTAACAGCCCAAATGTCTTACTATTCTAATTCCCTGATTAAATGTAAGAATTTGACTCAAAAGATAATGGACACTTTTAGAAAAAATGGCTTTATAAAGGTAAAAATGCAAAAATAAAAGTTTTAACTTATTGGAAAAGATGAATTTCTATCAGTATGAACCGACCACCACACAGAATATTAAAAACATTAGGAGTCAGCTGTCTTTGGCAGTCCTTAAGATACCGGCACAATAACACACTTACACAAATGGCACAAATATCGTCTATTTATCGTTATTGATAAAATCCCATAAAATATCGAGATATCATTTTTTGTCAATATCGCACACCCCTGATATTATATCAACATTCTGATATTATATAGACCGTTCAATGTTACACGGATCAATCCGTCAAATTACACGCATGTAATCTGTGAGATGACGGTCATTCAATTCTGACTTTATAACACGCAATTGTGAGAAGAAGAAAAAAGTCAGAATTGTGAGATAAAAAGTCGCAATTACCTTGTTTTATTCTTTATTTAGTGGCGGAAACGGGCTTCCATAGAAAATTCCTAATTTTTAAAATGTCTATTTTTACAGACTCTTCTTAGAGCGTAGCATACGAACCAACTTCTAATAATACACTGCTCAAAACTACGATTGTTCACAATGTAGTTTTACTAGCTAATAAAAAAAAACGTAAAACTGCGCAGCAATGCGAGTTCCATGTTGTATTTAAAAATAGTTATTTATATTATTTTTATGAACAGATCTAAATCAACATATCTAAAATATATTTTTGTCACTGGTTCGAAAACAAATGATTCGTAAAGGATTCTAAGCTTCGTTCGGAAAGCGCCCGGGTGTTCTCGCCAGTCTTGAATTTTAACGTTATTATTATTTTATTTATTTTTTCCCCTTTATTCAGTTCCATCGCACGAAGGGACAATGCAAACAGGGAAACGTTGCACATCTCAAAGCATGCAAAACAGAACAACAGCAACAACAAAAACGCTAAATTAATACAAACATATATATATATATATATATATATATATATATATACGCATATATATAAAATAAAAATAACAGAATGAAAAGAAAAAAAAAACACATACATTAGGGCAGTTACATAATTTTGAAAAGCTTTAGAATTTGTATTGTTTCTGTTAGCTTCTTATTTTGTGATCTCAAATTAGAAAGGGTTTCAAAGTATATTTTAAGATCGGTGTCACAAACCCTAACACATGATGGTTTCTTTTGAATTATGAATATAAAACTCTGCGAAGACAAGTAACAGATTAATAACATAAATGTGTGTATGAGGAAAAAGATGGGTTTCGATAACAAAGTAAAACATCACGAGGTTCTAAATGAAGGGCTGTGTTTAATTTTTAAATGTCATGTCTAATTTAAAAAGTCAACCCAAAATGAAATAGAAAAATCTATTTATCACAAACACTATGCATATATCTGCTAACAACTGCATTTACATGATGATATCTGTGAATCACTGTGTAAAGTACTTCTTTAGAAATGACATATTTATATGGTAACATCCAAATGCTGCGCCAAGACACACAATGAGGTTTAAGCCATTCTGATGGACTATTTTAGCGTTGTGTGTTACCTGAACTAAAGTCTGCAGCTGGCTGATGAACTGTTTGTGCATGGCTTCGGTCAGCTGGGGGTTCTGCTTCGACACAGGCTGGAAACAGTGGGAAAACCTGTCGAAACTGACACACAGAGTGGAGCTAACTTAACAAAAACACACCATGCGGAGGAAGGGGAACGCTGTATTAGCATTAGCATTAGCGTTAGCATTAGCGTTACCTGGCGTTGTCCAGCAGCCACTGCAGACTCTTCTCCATCACTTTACCGAACAGCTTGAGTCTCGGTTTAGATTGCGACGACTTAACCGAGTCGTTCCGACGAGACGAGCCACGTTCGTCCACTTTATCCACACTGCTTTCCGCGGAGACGGATCCGCCGCTCTTCTCGGGCTCCGCCATGTTTCTGTTGATGTTTACAAACGGGCCCGCCAACAGCAAGCGCGTCACGCTACGGAAAGCGAGCAGCCGCCAGTTTCAAACCGTACACGCAAAACGCGTTTCTTCCTCTTTAAAGGCGGATGGCATACAACTTTTCGGTGCATTAACGCCCCCTACTGAGTAAGAGTGTGGGTAAGGGTCATAATCTAAGTTTCGAGTTTTATTTGTCATGCCTACAGGTGTCAGAGACAGAATCTACATTGCAACCCTTGGAATGCACTATATTCGAAGCCTATATGTTTCCTCGAGTGTTTCTTCCTGTTACTCTATATTTACCAACAATCTATGCATGCATATAAAAGCATCTCCCTGTTCTTTCTTCTTCTTCCTATTGCCATCTATCCCTCACATGTTGTTTGGGTAAACCCTTCGGTTCACTCTTACTATACTTTTTTCCATCTATAGCACACATGTACATACAATTTATTCTTTTTTTTGTGGTTTATATTTATGCATGTGTATTTTATTCACATCTCACTTTTATTATCTGTGTGTTGTTGTTGTCTCCGTGTACTGGAAGCGTGTGACACTATAACAAATTCCTTGTATGTGCAAGCATACTTGGCAATAAAGCTCTTTCTTTCTTTAACAGCAGCTGTGTTGCTTTCTTAGCTAGTCCAGGAGTGTGCGAGCATATCCGCGTCCCGAAGAGAGGACAACAACTCCTGCACCTTTGACTCGGCGAGGGTCTCTGACATGATTACTTTATTGCAGCCTAATAACACTTCACACCTGCACTAGCAGAAAAGTCACACGGGACTTCAGTGCTGTCCCTGTAAACAGAACAAAACACAGCCTCTAAGTGTATTTTATACAGTACTGTCATAGGTTGTGTTGTTTTAAATATGTGCAGTAAATAAATGTGTATTTTATTATATTTATAGAAGTCTCTTATGTTCACCAACACTGCATTTATTTAATTATTAAATACAGGAAAAGCTGTAAAATATTATTACAAGCTGTTTTTAATGTGAATATAACTGATTTCTGTGATGCAGCGCTGAAAATCATCTTCAGAAATGATTTTAATATGCTGATTTGCTGCTCAATTATTATTGGTGTTCAATTAATAATGTGAAAGAGTTTTTGCTTCTTAATATTTGTGTGATACATTTATTGTTATCTATACAAAGTTCATTGAACAGCATTTATTTGAAATTATTATTATTATAAATTTTTTTTGTCAACATTATAAATGTCTTTACTCTCACTTTTGATTTATTTATTTTTTACTTTTGGTCAGTTAAAATAATAAAAGTATTAATTTCTTCCCTTTTTTTTTACCCCAAATCGTTGAATGGTAGTGTATCACGGTTTCTGCTAAAATATTGTGCAGCACAACTGTGTTCAACATTGATAATAATCAGAAATGTTTCTCGAGCAGCAGATCAGCATATTATACTGATTTCTGAATTAAATGATGCTGAAAATTCAACATTACATCACAGGAATAAAATACATTTTAAAATATAATAAAACGGAAAATAAAAAAATGACTGTTTTCACTGTATTTTTTGATCAAATGAATGAAATCTGGAAAAATATATAATGTAAATATATATGTGCAAACATGTATAGTCTATATTTGAATGGCGTGTAATTGCTCTGTACAGATTTGAATGTTTCTCAGTGCTACTGTCATGATGAAGAACCGCGGAGCTAAGCTGACACGTGATCACATTCATCAGATGACACGCATAACCACACGAGATATTCATAAATAATATTTACCTTGATGCATGGTGCTTTATTTTTCTAAATACTGACAAAAAATAAAGTTTTTGTTTACATAACATATGCATACTGTGTTTCTTTATTATGTATATATAAATACAAACACGTGCATGTATATATTTAAGAAAAATGTGTTATGTTTATATATTAAATATATTTATATATCAATATGTATACTGAATGTGTGTGTATTTATATATACATAATATATAAACGCAGTACACACACATATATTATGCAAACAAAAACTTATATTTTGGATGCGATTAATCGCGATTAATCGTTTGACAGCACTACTTAAAATTATATATTATTTTGCATTATTTAATTCATATTACGTCATATCGCTTTATGTCAGAAACGAAGACCTTTATCCTCTTTTATCCGCAAAACTAAATTATTGTGCATGCTTTTCTGTGTATTGTCACTCAAATAAGTCACACACTGAGGTTAACCCCTTAGCATTCCTGTAAAATTGGCCTAAAACGCCTAAAAAAGGCATACCCGGAGCACTACTTAAAATTATATATTATTTTGCATTATTTAATTCATATTACGTCATATCGCTTTATGTCAGAAACGAAGACCTTTATCCTCTTTTATCCGCAAAACTAAATTATTGTGCATGCTTTTCTGTGTATTGTCACTCAAATAAGTCACACACTGAGGTTAACCCCTTAGCATTCCTGTAAAATTGGCCTAAAACGCCTAAAAAAGGCATACCCAGAGTAAATTGCATGCTATTCTTGAACCATTTGGAGTATATGCATGGTTCTGGTCTCTTTTGAAAGGTGACACTCTGAGGTGTGTTCCCCAACAGCCAGAATCACAAAAATCTCAGCTTTCCAAAGATATAGGACATGTTTACCTTTATTTATTTATTTATTTTGCTGGTCTCGAAGTTAACCCTCAAAGCATGTAGTGCACCGCGGACGGCACACTGGAGCTGTATGAGGTTAATGACTTTGACTATGTTCACCAGGTATAACTGCGTAGGCCTCACATTTGGAAAAGTGGACACTGGACAATCTGGAGCAGTTGCCGAGAGGCGAGTCCATTTCTCTAGTGTCTTCCTCTCAAACTCAGCACCAGTTCAGGGATATATCATCGGCACATTTAACTTTGCAGCCCTATGATAAGGTGAAGACACGCGCTTCTGTGTTTGAATGAAATACTGCAGAGACGAAAGAAACTTAGCAAGCCTGAGGAACTGAAGACTCACAGATCAGCAAAAAAGACAAATAAGACTCAGTATTATGAACCCACACACGCTGTTCTCCCTCTGAACAGATGGACTGAATAGTGCAGCACATCATCTACACAAATGCCTCACATGTGGAACCTTTCCTGTTAGCTTTAATCTCCACTACGACTTTCATTTTTAGTTTACAGGAAACATTTTTTGGTGGGGAAAAAAATTAAAAGTTACACGAGTCGACACATAAACCTATGATGTGCAAACAGCTGTGTTTGCGTTCATATTCTGGCTTCTGGCTTTTTATAATAAATGCATTCAGTGTATCTTAGGGTTTGTCCTAGGCCATATTCTTTACATTCATTCTCTGCATTGATGGGCGAAATCCTTTTTAAATTGCATTACTCTTTTACTCCAAGGGAGTCCGCCATGGTGAGGGTTTTCCAATTACGGTTTGATCTAAAAAATATTAGGCTTTAAACAAAACAAAAAGACACAACATTAAGTTAACTTCCCCTAAAGATAAAAAGCTAAATGTTTCACCGTCTCTGATTATGTAATGCAAGCATCTTAAAGTATGCAATTGCATGAAGATGACATTTTATTATAGGCCAGGTTTAAAATGCAATAGTCAGTTTTATCAGAGGGCTACTAAAGTTTGGTCACTGTTATGTCAGCAATGCAGAGAAACCTGGAGTAATACTGTACGATTAACTGAGAGTCTGTTTCAAAGTACGTGAAAAATTAAAAACTTAATACTTTTCTATACTTTACTCCAGGTCCTTTCCAGGTTTTTTTTTTTTTTGGGATACATTGTAGCAATAGCCAACAATACATTGTATGGGTCGAACTTATCCATTTTTCTTTTATGCCAAAAATCATTAGGATATTAAGTAAAGATCATGTTCCATGAAGATATTATGTAAATTTCCTACCGTAAATATACCAAAACGTAATGTTTGATTAGTAATATGCATTGCTAAGAACTTCATTTGGACAACTTTAAAGATGATTTTCTCAATATTTAGATTTTTTTGCACCCTCAGATTCCAGATTTTCAAATAGTTGTATCTCAGCCAAATATTGTCCTGTCCTAACAAACCATACATCAATGGAAATCTCATTTATTCAGCTTCAGATGATGCATACATCTCAATTTCACAAAATTGACCCTTATGACTGGTTTTGTGCTCCTGGGTCACATTTTTGCTCACATCAACTTCTGGCTAAAATCTAATGCAAGAGTTGGAATCTGTTTCAGGCTAATCTTTCAGACTCCCCTCGCCTGAACAGGAGTGTGTTATTGAGAGCTGCTGCCACTGAACGCTCAGAAAACACATGTGAGAGATGCACAGAGGACAGTAAACGGCGTGGTATGGCTTTATACACGCCTGGAAAGTATGCATGATGCGTTACAAATTAACTTTGTACATAAAGTTTCGATTTGCAATTTGTACACCTGTTTTGCTTTGAAATGTACTCTTCAGAGGGCAATACCACACATAATCATCCGAGCATGACGGTTCTGTATCTGAAGCTGGACTGTAAGTTCACGTAAATAAAAACAATTCAGTTCAGTCTGAGTTTAAGGGTTGATGTCACCCTACGGTTTCTTTGATGGCAACAGCAGGCGTCGGTCCTATATGAGTCCAGATGTAGCCTTTTTCTGGACGAACCGGTAATGTTGGGAAAGGGCAGCTTCTGGATTTGAAATACTCTGATGGGGCGTGACACACAAACTCCAGGTACTCCATTTTTCTTGGCAAGTCCTCCTCAGGGCCTAAGCAAAGATATCCAGGATTACCAACTCAATTTAAATATCCTTTAACAATGAATTAATCAACGCAGGCCTGACATTCGGAGTAGAGCACATCTGTCTGCAATAGGGTGTGCGATACTGACAAAATAATCTCTCAATATTTTTTTTGACTTTTTTCAATAATGTTAATTAAACAATATTTTGCAGAGTGTTTTGTGCTGGTACCTTGGCTGGTTTATGGATAATTTGATATGACACTAAAACAAAGTCCCTGTCTTAGCGTGCGATTCATTGATTCAAACGATTCGTTCAAAACGGCTGATTTTTGAATCACTGACTGAAATGATTCATTCAGGAA